AAACAGACTGATAGAGAAATTAAGGAAACTATACCTTTCACAGTAACATCCAAGAAATCAAAATATTTAGGAATCAATCTAACAAAAAAAGTAAAAGACCTATTCAATGAAAACTACAGTACTCTGAAAAAAGAGACTGAAGATTTCAGTAAATGGAATGAAAAATACAGTACTGTAGTTCAAATTACAGTTTGAAATGAAAACTACAGTACTCTGAAAAAAGAGATCAAAGATTTCAGTAAATGGAAAGATATTCCTTGCTCATGGATAGGAAGAACCAACATTGTGAAAATGGCCATACTCCCAAAACTGCTGTACAGATTCAATGCAATTCCTATTCAACTACCATTAGTATACCTCACAGATCTCAAGAAAACATGCCTTAAATTCATCTGGAACCAGAAGAGAACCAGAAGAGACCTAGAATAGCAAAAGCAATCCTGGGCAACAAGAACAAGTCAGGTAGAATCACAATCCCTGATCTGAATAAAGCTACTGTCATAAAATCAACCTGGTACTGGCTAAAAAACAGACCTGAGGATTAATGGAACAGACTGGAAGCAACAGCCACAACCAAAAACACACTCAGCCACCTAATCCTTGATAAAGGGGCCAAACAAACTCACTGGAAGAATGACAGCCTCTTTAATAAATGGTGCTGGAAAAATTGTCTTGCCACCTGCCAAAGACTGAAAATAGACCCAAGTCTATCACCTTGCACCAAACTCAAGTCAAAATGGATCACAGATCTCAATATTAAAAGAGAAACACTAAATCTATTGGAAGAGAAAGTAGGTAAAAACCTTAAAGACATAGGGGTCGGCCGAAAACTCATGAACAAAAACCAAACTGCACATGAAACACTTCGAAGAATCAACAACTTGGATCTCATCCTACTGAAAAGTTTCTGCACATCTAAAGAAATCACCAGCAGAGTAAAATGAAAACCCACAAACTTGGAAAAAATTTTAGCTGACTGTCCCTCAAAGGACTTCTATCTAGAACATATAATTAAAAAATATCAGCTTCCCCCAGATTCAAAGACCCAATCCGAAAATGGGCAGCTGAGATGAATACACACTTCTCAGATAAAGAAATACAAATGGCAAATAAATACACAAGAAAATGTTCAACATCATTAGTCATTCAAGAAATGCAAATTAAAACAATACGGAGATTCCATCTCACCCCAGTAAGAATGGGTAGCAGTAAGAAATCAACCAATAACAAATGCTGGCGAGGCTGTGGAGAAATAGGAACCCTTCTCCACTGCTGGTGGGAATG